TTCCCTACAGGAAAATTCCACCTTTTTGATTTCTTGCCTGATCACAAAGCACATATTAAAAAAGTTGATTTTTCTGGCGAAATAGAAGTTTGGTTTTCTGGCTGCTTTTGTTCAGAGGAGAGCCAGATGGATGGAGGCTTTGATGCTGCTCTGCTTTGTCCACCCCCGAGCAGTGCCCTTGCAGAGCAGTTTTGTGCTCCACAGTCAGGAACTGCTCCAGCCTGGTTGATGGTCACCTTTCCTGTTCCCTTCAGGATCTCCGTGTGTGATGAAGACAAATTTGGCCACAATGAGTTTATTGGAGAAACTAGAGTTTCCTTGAAAAAACTCAAAGCCAACCAGAAAAAGAACTTCAACATCTGCTTGGAGAGAGTAATACCAGTGAGTTCCTGTGAAATTGCTTTCTGTTACCATTAACGTTGAGGTTGCTGACAAGTGGCATGGGAGGGGGGTAGAGGTGAACTTGGGGCTGGAACCAGCCAAAAGTGGTAGGTGCCTGACTTCACTGGCATCTTCAGGAGCTGGATTCCCTCCCACGTCTGGGCTGATGTGACACGTCAAGGCCAGGAGATAAGAGTGTGGTGGGAATCCAGGGGAAGTGACTCGAGACCAACCATCAACCTGACACTGCCAAGTCCATCACCAAACCATGTCCCCGAGATGAATGTATCTGAGTCCCCTTCCACTCCAGAGGCTGGGCTCCTGGGGGTGTGTTGTTTGCCGGACGGTGCCTCTCCCAGCTGTGGTCACTCATGACAGTCTCTCTTTTCCTCTTCCCCACCCAAGATGAAGCGTGCTGGAACAACTGGCTCATCCCGTGGGATGGCACTGTACGAGGAGGAGGTAAGAGTCCTTGGAGGACAACGTACTCCTCACATTTCACCCATCATCTCCCAAGTATGAGCCATTTTGTATCCCTATGAGGGGCAAAAAAAGATCCCCTTGTATCCATCTTGTCTCATCCGCTCTGCACTTGACCACCTTCCTCGCTCAGCCCCCGTGTCCCCATCTCTGGTCGTTGTGTCTTGCAGGTAGATCGCGGTGGGGATGTGGAGGAGCGTGGGAAGATCCTCGTGTCCCTCATGTACAGCACCCAGCAGGGTGGCCTGATCGTCGGCATCGTGCGCTGCGTGCATTTAGCAGCCATGGACGCCAACGGATACTCGGACCCTTTTGTTAAGCTGTAAGCGGGACCTGGGGCTGCCGTAGAGCAGTAACGTGTGGTCATGGAGCCACCATCTGTCCTTGGGTGGTAACTGATGCTCTGAGAGCTCCTTCCAAAACCACTGGAGAGGGGAGAGCATTTCCCAAGCATCTCATGTAGGACTGAGCTGCCCTTGAGTGCTGCTCTGCTTGAGTGCCCCTGCCATGACTGAAGCTTGGTGAGACTGACCTAGCCCTTAAGTTCACCCACTCCCTGTAGGTTCCCAAATGCAAATGTAGGTTCCCACATTCGCCCTGTAGCTGCAGAGCTGGAGGACAAGAGATCCTTCTCCCTGACTGTGATCCCCCCATGCCTGCAGGCTGGGGAGGGCTTGGTGTCCCTCTGTGCATGATGAGGGGCACGTGCCCCACTTGCTGCCCCATAAACCCCCATGCTGGTTGAACCCAGCAGCCCACGGATCTCCTGTCCTGTGCCACCACAAATGATTCAGCTTAATTAATACAGACCATGGTGTTTGCTGTGGTTCATGTTGGCGATGCCTTGTTGTGACACAGAGCGAGTCTCCTTATGTTCCTCTCTTATGAGGAGTGGCTGAGGGAGCTGGGGGTCTTTAGCTTGAAAAAGAGGAGACTGAGGGGTGACCTCATTAATGCTTATAAATTTGCAAAGGGCAGTGTCAGGAGAAAGGAGCCAGGCTCTTCTCTGTGATGTCCAATGACAGGACAAGGGGCAATGGGAGCAAGCTGGAGCATAGGAGGTTCAACCTGAACATGAGGACAAATGTTTTTACTGTAAGGGTTACAGAGCACTGGAACAGACAGCCCAGAAAGGTTGTGGAGTCTCCTTCACTGGAGACACCCAAAGCCCTGGCCGTGTTCCTGTGTGACTGCTCTGGTGATCCTGCTCTGGGGGGGTTGCACTGTGGGAGCTTTTGAGATCCCTTCCAACTCCTCATGTTCTGTGATTCTGTGATTCCTCGAGCAGCACTGCACCCGTTGGTGCTCTTTGCTGTGGAGGGAGGTGATGGGGGAGCAGCTTGTTGGGTGAAGAAGATTGTTTTAACTTGAACCTCATAAACTGTGACATGGAGAGGACCCCGCAGTCATTCCTGGTTGTGACTGCAGATGTGTTGTCATTGCTGTTTTCTCTTGGCCTTCAGGAAAAAATACTGTATTCTCCCTAAAAGTCATTCAATAACTCATGTTGAACATTTTGCACATCTTTTTGTAGCTGTGTGCAACTGAGTAGTTTTCCTTCTCAGTCTCTCTGTTGTTTTGTTTTTTTTTTTTTAATATATATTTTCCATTCCCACCAGTAGAGGATGGTGGCTTTCCATTTTTAAATCAATTTCCAGCGCAGGTCTAATTAATGCCATCTCTACAATGTAGTGCTGGGTCTGCAGCCAGGCTGTGAAGCCCAAGCCCCAAATTTTTCCCACATTCTTTAGATGAACACTCCTTGGCTTAGTTTTTTTCCATATTTCTTTCCATCTCTGCGTGCTTTTGCACATTCTTGGCTGGGTTTTCCAACGGCCAACTTGGTGACCAGCCGTGCAATTGCCCTGGTGAGCAAGCCTGACCTCTCATTTTCCATATTCCCTGACTGTTTCAGGTTCCTCCCCAGCAAAACACAGAGTTTACCCAACTTTTGCTCCGTAAAACACCTACAACCACTTATTTTGATATTGTTTAGAGGGAAAAAGGACTTGAGACCGATGTGTGGTTTGGAAGGATATCTAAAGGTATCTGTTGAGCTCAGCACAAAGCAGGTCTTTATGGCTTCCCATATCTTGTCTGGCAATCCAGGGTTAAAAAAAGAATATTCAGGATTTTACTCATTTTACGTTTATTTTAGATAATTTTGGAAGGTGGGAAGGGAGACTGGCTAACCCATTTCTTTGCCTTAAATACCTTCAGTTGCCTTTTGCTAGTCCAAAACCTCACTTTTCTTTTATCTTATAAACTCACACTGTTAATTGCACTTGAGTTTTGAGCTGTTTTCTGTTGCCCCCAGTTGGCTGAAACCTGACATGGGAAAAAAGGCCAAGCACAAGACACAGATTAAGAAGAAAACGTTGAATCCTGAGTTTAACGAGGTAAGGATGGGTGTAATTTTTATTATTAAATCAACTTAGCCAGTTACTATGTTGTGTGGAGGACAGACTCCCTAAGGTTCAGTTCCTTGCTGAGGCTCCTTTCCCCGTTCTGCACTCAAGGATATTTTAGTAATTACTTTGCCATGGGAGATTTCACCAGTTCAGTGCTGGGCAGCACTGGTACATGCCAAAACCTCCCTGTTGCCAACTTGGGATGAGCATCCCCTGTTTGTAACCCCTTAACTGCAGTTTTATGGGTGCATTTTCCTGGGATGCTTTGAGTGATGTGGGTTTTCTCCTTCTGCAGGAGTTCTTCTATGATATCAAACACAGTGATCTGGCCAAGAAGTCGCTGGACATTTCAGTCTGGGATTATGACATTGGAAAATCGAACGATTACATCGGTGAGCTGCAAGTCTCTGCTCTGGGGTGCAGTTTTGATTCCTGATACAGTGCTCACTGTACGGGAGAGGTGGAGGAACCACAGGCTGAGCTTTTGAGGTGGGACCATGGAGGTTGGTTGGGTGCTTGTACCAAATCAAAGACAAATACCTCAAATACAGCACACCCACTGAACAGTCCCATCTCCAGCATTATCCCATGGGTTCTTCTGTGCAGGCAGAGTAGCTCTGGTTGTTTCCACTACCTTTTAAATCCAGGAGGTGGAGAGAAATGCCCCAAACATGGGGTCAGTCCCCATGGAAATGGTTTACGGGAACATCAGCATCATCTCTCAATATGATGTCTCTTCTCCTCCCTTTCTTCCAGGCGGCTGTCAGCTCGGCATTACGGCCAAGGGGGAGCGCTTGAAACACTGGTATGAGTGCTTGAAGAACAAGGACAAGAAGATCGAGCGCTGGCACACCCTCCAAAATGAGAACCACGTCGCCAGTGATTAAAGGGAGCCGCTGCCCGAGTGCCCCGTCCTCTGCCAAGCCCCCGTAGATCTCTGATGTCTGTCTTCCAGCGCAGTCATGCCTTGCTACACGCCTCTGGTCCCAGGGCAGCAACACTCTTCTGCCTCCTCCAAGCATCCTCCGTGCCCGGTCCCCACCTGAAAACTAACCCAGATCTTTTATATTCCTTTTCTGTTTGTTTGTTTTGGGAGGGAAGGGGGTGCCATTGAATTATCCTGGTGTGTAATTTTGTCAAGCAATAGCTACCCTTTGACTGTTCCTCTTTCTCACCAGCCTCACGCACGCCGTGATAGCCTTCCCGTTGTGTGTGTGATGCTCTGTGCTCCTCCAGCCTCGTCCCATCACCACGAGCTCCCAGCTCCCCGGTCTCCTGGTGGGATGTGTGGCCATCTCATCCAGTGTAGGGGATGTTGAGCGCTGGTGTCAGAGCATCAACCCATTCTGCTTGTGTGATCTCGATACCTCAGTTGCAATAACGAACAAACTGTTTGGCTTTGGTGTGGGTCGTGACCGTAGCCTGGTATCTGTGTTGTCGTGGTTAGGCTAAAGCCTGCGTCACCGGTGTAATCCTGCGAGTCCCGCTTGAGCTTTCGTTCTGGTTTTTGGTACACTTTGAGCAATATTGTGGTACATCCTTTGCTGAGAAGATCCGCCAATAACACAATAACGATAATGAGAAATTGGGACCCACTCTGCTCGCAGGGAAATGGAGATTTGGGTTGGTTCACGTGTGGTTCCTTTCACCCAAGGCACTCGCGGGCTTTGTTGCTGTAGGAGCCCACCCACGTTGCAAGCTTGTGACCACCTCCTCGTCACGTCCCGGCTGTGTGGTAGTGAGTAACCAAAACCCAAGGGCAGGCTCTGGCCACCTTCTTTCTGCTGCCAACCATTTGCTGTACCACATGCAGGAGGGTAGCCGAGGGAGAAGACCCTTCCCAACACCCACCTGACATGTGCAAGAATTATTGCTTTAAAATACCACAAATACTGAAATTAGCTGGAACAGTTAGAGGTCTTCCAAACTTTGATGTTTTGCTTGAGTTTTTGTTTGTTTTTTCCTAATCTGCATAAGAACCGTTGTCTTCAACCCACGCTTTAATGATGGTGTGGAGGTGTTTGATTTGTTCTCAACAGTAGGAGAGCCGGGATGCTCTCAGTCTGATGCTGTTGGCGTTTGGTACCACTCACTGTCTCTGGACAACCTCAAGTATCGCAATGGCCATAGCAGCCCAGGAAGCACCACTGGGACATCTCCCACCCCGCGCATGTTGTACCAACCCCGAACCCCAGCCCTGTGGGTTCACGCTGTCGTCCTGTGACTGCCCTTGCACCCCTGTGGCGTGTTCTCAGTTACCAGAGCTGTTTCCTTGAATGGGATGAGTTATTTTCCTATTCTTGATTAGTATTCCCCCAGCAGAACCTGCTCCAAGCATCGCTGCAGCGCTGGGATTTCTGCAGCAGAAATCGGAGCATTTCCCACTTCCAAGCTGTGCTGCAGAAATGTGGGGCTGGGTGTGAAATTACCTTTTATTTTCTGTGGTTTTTTGTTGGTTTTTTTTTTTTTTAAATCTAAGCCATTTATTAATTTACTCCAGCGCTGCAGCAGCCCAGCCTCCTTTGTATGTGCAGACCCATTAAATTAAAGGTTGCCTTGACCCATGTCCTGTACTGACGTTGTCTGCTCAGCCTGTGCTCCCTTCAGATAAATAATCCTCAGATCATCTCTTTGCCCCCCAAAAAATTAAAGAAGTGCAGCTTGCCGGTCCCACCTCTCGGTATTGTACAAACCACGGTCCTCGTCTCAGTTTGCCACCCTCTTCTCGGTTTTTCTGACGGTAATTTCTGCCCTGAATGACCTCTTTTTGTTGTAAATAAAGCATGCACATATGGATTGGGAATGGTGCAAAAAAAAAAAAAAAAAAAGCCTCTTCTACTGCTGTTTGCATTCAAACTCGCATGCAGTGATTTTACAGCAAAATATCAGTTTACAACTATTAAGAGAAAAAAGAAAAATGTTACACAGGAACTAGAAATACTCCAGTCTTCCGCTGCATGCAGCACAACATCCTCTCTTGATGTGGTATCTAATAAAGTGAGACTATTGGAAAAGGAAAAAAAAATACCAAATATGATGGGTTTTTGACTTATTTTGTTCTCTGTGGGAATACAAACCCCAGCATGGGCTGTTAGGTGTGGGAAGGGGTCTTGGTGGTGGGTTTGGGTGTGCTGTGAAGTTTCGTTAGGCTCAAGATGCTGAGGAGGGACTTGGGGTGATGGGGTGCAGCACCTTCTCTGTGGGGAGAGGACTCTCCTGCACCCTAGGGATGATGCAAGGATTAGGGACCAATTTGGGTTAAAATCTTGGGTTGTGGACATCCATAGGCTCCCACTTGCTTTGTACCTCGTTGGGTGCAAACACGATGGATACACACTGCTGGGGAGGACCACGGCTGCTTTGCTCTGAAGCTTCTGGGTGTCCCCTTGAAAAGCAAACCCACTTGGTAAGAAATGAATCTCCTGATGCACCTTCCCAGTGCAGGAAACTGTCCCCTCCAGCTTTCTTCGTTTTTCTTTTTTTAAATTTATTTTGGCATTTTTAGGCTCAATTTCCAGCAGGGAAGCACACACCGGGATGGTGGGAGCCTCACGGGAGTGACAGCTCCACGGGGGTCATGCCCCAGCCCTGGGCAGGGGGACACGGGTGGTGGCTTCGTCTATTTAGGGGTACCAGCACCCTCCGTGTATCCAGAAAGTGCCCGTGGATGGAGAGCGGCTGCATGGCGGGACCGGTGCCGATGCCCAGAGACAGCAGCAGATGTCACTGATGCTCCAGGTATGGCGTGGGAAGGATGGGCAGGAGATGCTGGAAGGATGGCCACGACCAGGGACATCCTCAGTACCCTCCATCCTGGTGGTGGGACCCCCTCAGTATCACCCATCTCGGTGGTGGGACCCCCTCAGTATTGCCCATCTCGGTGGTGGGACCCCCTCAGTACCCTCCATCCTGGTGGTGGGACCCCCTCAGTATCACCCATCTCGGTGGTGGGACCCCCCACCCCTTCAAGTGGCACCCATTGTGGTGGTGCCCTCCCCAATGTGATCTTCATGTAAGCTGTCGCTGAGCCTCGATGGATCACAGCCGTGGGGTGGTGGTGGAGCTGCCCCATCCCCATGTCAGGTCCCACACGCTGCAAGTTTAGCCCGTGATTTCCCCAAGACCAGGCTGGTGGTGGCTCTTCAGGAGAGGTCTGGGCAGTTAAAGCCTCCTGAGGTGATGAGGTGCCATCACAGTGTATTGCAGTTGGCTTGGAAATAATTGCCCAGGAGAGACCTGTAGGGCAGGGACCACCTTCCCCATGACCATCAGTGGTCAGATGGACTCATCGTGGAACAAAAAGGTTAAAATGGTGAGTTAGATACCACTTTTTGGTAATTAGGTTGTACTCATAAGAGCAGCAGTAATGAGTGGTATAGAAAAATCCCCGAGGTATTTAAAATGGTCATATGGTGCTAATTATGTATTGCTTTAATGAAGACCTCGTGTTCTCCCACCAGTCAGCAGAAGACCTCGTGTTCTCATGCATGCTGGCAGGGAAATAACCAGAGGTTAAACATCACAGCAGTGACCGAGCTGTCTGACGTGATCTCCTCTTTGGGGGCAAACTCCAAGGAAAAGGGGAAAAATGACACCAGCTCCCAGTGAGCTGCAGGACATGTTGTCTTGTCTTTGGAGGACAAGGAGAGGGACGGCTTGTGAGGACAACGGGTACAAAGCCCTTTGGTTATGTCATGCTGGGTGCTATGAGGCTTGAGCAGAGAAAATGGGTCATTTTCCAGATGTAGGGAAGCTATACGTGTGCTCGCTCCCAGAGGCTGCCAGTGGTGGTGTTTTAGGTGGGGTGGGTGGAAGAAGGAGCAAACCATCATCGCTGTAATTAGCGGGTACACTGAGTGCAGTGGGGCTGATTGCATCCCCCTTTTCTGCTGCTAAAGCTTGTTCTCTTCCAAACCTTCAGTGGCAGGAAATAGTTGGGTCTTTGTCTTCTATAAAAACAGTTCCCAGAGATGTCTAGCAGCCTTAAAATTGAGCTTTAACTTCCTTTTATTAGGAGTTTTCCGCATGAGAGCTCCCCATCGATTTTTCCTCTCTGCCACTGTCCGGTGTTGGTGCCACGAGTGACCAATGGAGACGTCCCAGTTGAGAGATCCCAGCTCCTGCACTGGGGCTCCCCACATGGGATTCCCACCATGGCCAAGCACTGGAGTGAGGAGCATCCCCATATCCCCCAGGATTCAGATCCCCCTTATTTAATTGTGGGTAAGACAGCACCAGCTGTAGTTGGCTCTGAAGTCCTGAATGGAAAATGCTTCAAAAGAGAGAAACAGGCATTTTTGAGCGCATCCATGCGGATAAGAGAGGGTCCTTTGTTCCCCCTGATTGATATTTCTGCTCCCATTTTCTTCCCAGCCTCTCTGAAAAAGAAGCCCTCGGATTGCAAATTGCGCTTGATCAGGATGGTTATTTGCATGTTCTGCTTTTGTAGGTAGCTTTGCAGTTTTAATTACATCTCAGAACATCTGAATCCTTCTGCTGTTCCAACCGCTTTCCTTGCGTGCTAATTAGATTTAGACCTTCGGTGAGATCAATGGATTCTCATCTCGGTACTGGCCAAGCCAGTCATGACCAGTAATTTACAGCTCTAGTTGTTCTGAAATCAATACAGATTTGCTCTTCATTGAGAGGGCTGCAAAACGCAGCTGACAGTGGGCGCGCTAAGCGGTTGATGTGGAAGCAGGTCCCTTGCTGGTCCTGGAGAGCGGCCAGAACAATGACAGAGGAAAAGCTACGGGGTCGGCAAGTGGAGCAGACATCTCCTACTCAAAAAGCAATGGGATGAAGGTGGTGATAAAGTGTTGGGCTCTTGCTCCTCTCCTGGAGATGCAAAATTCAGCGTATGGCCACATAGCTCCTCTCCAAGGTG